TGTGATCTTTTACATGCCTATTGTTACATCGTTGATTACATCTATCTCCATATTTACCACTTTGACAACCTGAAATATAATATAAAGAATGTTATATGTGACTGAGATTTCTTGATATTTTGTTATTGATAAGTGTAGACAGTTCGATTCAAAACTTACTCAATATACAATCATATCCTCTATAACCTGGTTGACAACCATCAGTACATTGTCCTGTTATATGATGACATTCTTGTGATCTTTTACAATGCCTATTGTTACATAGTTTACTACATTTATCTCCATAGGCACCATTTGGACAACCTGAAATATAATATAAAGAATGTTATATGTGACTGAGATTTCTTGATATTTTATCATTGATAAGTGTAGACAGTTCGATTCAAAACTTACTCAATGTACAATCTTCTCCTCTATAACCTGGTTTACAACCATCAGTACATTGTCCTGTTATATGATGACATTCTTGTGATCTTTTACAATGCCTATTGTTACATAGTTTACTACATTTATCTCCATAGGCACCATTTGGACAACCTGAAATATAATATAAAGAATGTTATATGTGACTGAGATTTCTTGATATTTTATCATTGATAAGTGTAGACAGTTCGATTCAAAACTTACTCAATGTACAATCTTCTCCTCTATAACCTGGTTTACAACCATCAGTACATTGTCCTGTTATATGATGACAGTGTTGTTGTGATTCTTTACAATGTCTCTTGTTACATCGTTGTTTACATCTATCTCCATATTGACCACGTGGACAAACTGTAACATAGCAATATTAATATTGTCAGAACAATTTGATGTGAAAATTTGGATAACGTTATGTCGGCTGGATGTGGTGCAACAATATTACTCGTGTGCTTGGAACCTGTACAATTTTTAAACACAAAGAAAATTGTTGCTCTGTTGTTAACAACCATCCTTTACAAGGATAACAACTTAGGCTCACACGCATTTTCTCTACAAGTTGTTCTTATCTAGATTATCCTTATCCATTTAGAGATGAGTCGAGTAGAATAAGATGATATTTTACAGATCACGACAATTTAACACTCCGACCGTGATTAGAATCTACGACCACCATTTTAACAACGGTACCAAACAAAACAAAAAAAATCCAGCGCTCTAAGAGAATGTGTTACAGAACCCCTCAATCCAAGACTGTGTATTGTTGTTACTGAAGTTTATTTTGTGTGATTTTTCCTCATGCATCCAGTGCACTAAATATGTACACCAACCTTGACTACAATCAATTCCCTGATATCCTGGATTACAACCATTGATACACTCTCCTGTTACATGATTACACTCAGAGATACCAGAACATTGTCTAGCACTACAGTTCTTCTGACATCCTAAACCATATTTATTGATAGTCCAACAACCTGAATATTAAATAAATCTATTTGTTAGTTATATTGGTATATACTCTATATTACATAAAACTATGTTCTTGAACGAAACAATTTCAATACATAATTATTCACATTATCATATCGTTAACTATTCCATTTGTTCAGAGATTTTTCTACGCAATGGAATGAATGGTAGACATCGAACTAGACTTACTAGTATTACAGCTACCTCCATACCATCCTGTCTGACATCCATTAGGACATTGACCAGTTATAACATCACATTTATCATAGTTCAAACAATGACAGAAATTATTACATTCTGAACCATACGTTCCTGTAGCACAAACTGTAATAGAGAGAGACAGTACGTTCCTGTAGCACAAACTGTAATAGAGAGAGACAGTACGTTCCTGTAGCACAAACTGTAAAAGAGAGAGATAGTACGTTCCTAGAGCACAAACTGTAATAGAGAGAGACAGTACGTTCCGAGAACACAAACTGTAATAGAGAGAGATAGTACGTTCCTAGAGCACAACTTATAATAGAGAGAGACAGTCCGTTCCTAGAACACAAACTGTAATAGAGAGAGAGAGTACGTTCCTAGAACACAAACTGTAATAGAGAGAGACAGTACGTAGAGCACAAACTATAATAGAGAGAGACAGTACGTTCCTGGAGCACAAACTGTAATTGGACAAAAAAAGCATTTGAAAAAAAAATAGAAACATAACTTGTCAGACAAAGTACCATACGCCCACAGTGTCTAAAATACAAATTTTCTCATAAATACACTCATGCAAACTGGGTTTCATTCTAGCTACAAACAGATGCCTCTATCGTGTCATCATATATAAATTTCCTAAGGGCAATAACTCAAAAACCAAAATCAAATTATTGTCATTATCAAACTTGACCAAGATCTCATTATTATATTGTTATATATATAAATTTGGCTTCCAGACATGATAGAGGCTAAATTTTTTTTATCTGAACTTGATGAAACCCGGTATGCATATATATATGAATTTGAAGTATTTTTATAAATTCAAGAGCAAAAACTTCAAAACCGTCCATCCGATTATTACCAAATTCGAACGTGACCGAGATCTCATTAATATATACATTCATACCAAGTTTCATCTAGATCGGAAAGAAGAGGTAGCCTCTATGTGTCAACAAGCCAAATGTGGACAGACGGACAGCGGCGTTAGCAAAATACGTCCACATTTCCATGTGGATATATAATAAAAAATATTATAAATTCGACTTCAAATTATCACACTATAATTTATCTTATATTTACTTTCTTATCAGTATGTTGTCATATATAGATATTTATTATTTACATCCGGGTATACTTCACAACATTACACGAACGATCATCTTATTTCTAGTAACAACTTACACAACGTAAAAACAAAATGTTTGAGTCGAACCCGGATATGTATAAATATCTTTGTTAGACTATAGACTATACTTGATAACAGTATAGTAACATAATCTATCTCATACAATACACAAGAACTTATGAATATTCTAACAAATTGTTTATTTTTTAAAGGTATAGTACCTCTTAGGATGACCAAAATTTAAATTTCAAACTTAGTTAAAATGAGTCGTAGTTCAACAATGGACTTGCCTAGTGTCAAAACTATACAACAGAATCTCTATATAATCCAATCAATCCATAAAACAAAGTATTAATTAATTAAACTACGTGATTTTGAAATATGCTTAGAAACGTCTTTCAATAATTACATAGCTTAATTGATATATCGTGTTATATAGAGATTCTATTCTTTAGTCATGGCACCTGGCACCTGTTTAAGTCCAACTGATGAATATATACACTTGTTACCCAAGATAGAGACTTTAAAGTTGGGTTCCCTTATTTTCATTTATGCTAATACTTATATGAATAGAAAGAAGAGGTGTTCTAATGACTTGGAAAATTACCAGTTTGTCTCACATGTCCATAATTACTTCATTAGCTTTATAAGTAGAGAATTACCAGCACAATTTCAATGAGTGTCCGATCAAGAAGCGTCAAAAAGTATTTTTTGTTTATCCAGACTGTACTTACACGGGCATTTATGATTGGTTAAAACTCTTAATTATATGCAATAAGAACATAATGATATGATAAAGAATACATGATATTTCATTAGAAACACCAATTAATCAAATAGTTTGCTTAATTTGACACTAAAATATAAGGAAACTCATCTTTAAATTTTATATCCGTTCTAAGTATGGTTTTAAGTATTGTGTAACATCTTCATAAACCTGTGGTAATTATAATATCTACATTTTGTGAACAGGTTCATCCTATTTTTCTACCTTGTATAAAATAATGTGACATCCCTGAACGTGTGATATTTTTATCAATTATTTTTATCAAGTTTAGTTCTTATTGCATATAGGTTTTTTTTATGCAAAATGCGTGGGAACTCCTCCTAAAAATAAA